AGCACTTTTGTTGGCTCTTTGGACTCTAGAGACTGGTTCCAGTAGTGAAAGCCATTTCTTATGGCACATCTGAATACCTCATTGGAACAGTGGTATTGTTTAACTTTAGAAACTTCAGCAAATCTGTTAACCTATGGAGAAATATGTTTCTATGACAGTCTGTGTGTACAATAGGATCAAAATACACTTACATCTTCTTCCAGGTAGGTTAATTACAGAATCAGTTTTTAAACTTTATTGCTCTAAAAGGGAATGTGTATTTAAGTTTGTAGCTATTTTTAAAGCCACTGCCTGTTTTATGAAAGTCACCAGATTTTGTTGTTCACTAATCTTTATCTGCTGAACAAATTGAGTTTCTCAGTCACCTCATACTAAGGCTCAGCTAAACTGTCATAGATGACCTCTTATAAGGGTCCCTCCCTCCCTTAAGAAAACTAACATTTGTTCTCACATTTTCAGTGAAAGACAACGGATTAAACCAAGGAATCACTACCAACCCATATTCCTCTATAATCCACCTTACAAACTGTAGCCAATAACTGAGCTTACCATTAACTTTCATAACCAGATGAATTGAACCAGAAATCATAGACCGTCTCAGTATATTCCTGGACCCATTTCCCTTTAAAGCAGGCTTGACTTTGGGCTAAAGCTGATTGGCCAGACAGTAATTCTGTAGCGGTAAATACTCCAAGTGCGACTGGCAATGAGGAAAACAAGTAAAGCAGAGTAGGTAAAATACTGAGCAGTCAATGGCAAGATAAGAATATGCATGGCTATAAGGCAAATTAAATTCCATGACACCACCATTTGTTTATTCGCAGAATATACAGTAACTGCCACAAGACTTGGAATCATAAGCATGTCCCAGACAAGGGAAAGGGTTATCAACCTTAGCTGATTACTCAAAAAAAACCCCACACTTATTGGTTTTTGCAAATATTTTAGAGCCCCAAATAAAATTCTTGAACACTTGCATAAATGCCAAAAATAGTAACAAATTTATTTAGAAATCTTTTAATCAAAAGGTTCAGCTGCTGCAACAATCCAACCTGAAAGCAGAAACAGTACAAGTTCAACACATGCAGGTGCACAAAATTGAGATGAGCTGAAACAAGTTAAGAACTGACTTACCATGGAGTGGAAGTTATCAGCTATTCCAGCGTCTTTTGTGTCCACGTTAATCTTGGAGAGCCAGCAGAGGGTTCAGAGTCGTCTAGGGAACTCACAGCCTGAGCATAGAAATATGGTGATCTGAACCCTTGAGCAGATACTGGAGTCAAGCCAGGTCTAAGAGCCATGTCTTGGGCAGGCAAAGCCACTGAGTCTGAAGGGGTATACACACTCCTTGAACCGGTTGAGGTCACACCACTCAAACTAGCACCATAGCTGGTTTGGGGAAAAGGCACATCTTGGTAACGGCTCTGAACGGGCTGGGCTGCAGTCACCTGTCGGTAAGTACTTTGGGAAGGTGTAGATATGCTGGTGAAAGGGCTGTAGTTTAATCCAGATGTAGCATCTTCAGAACTGTAGTCATTTCTCAAGACGCTTTCTTCCACATCAGTCAAAGAAGAATCCATTCTAATATTTTGGGAAGCAGCTTCAGGTGGATAGCTACTCTGAGCTGGCTGAGCCAAAGCTAACTGTTGGAAAGGGCTTTCAACAGGCTTAGAAATGCTAGTAGGGGGGTTACGGCTTGAGGGATAGGAAGATCCTGAAGAGCTGTAGGCCCTCGAGTCACTTGATACCAGTCCAGTCCCACTGGTTCCAGATGGATAACTACTCTGCACTGGCTGGGATGAAGTTACTTGCTGGTAGCTGCTTGGGACAGGCTTAGAAATGCTGTTGGGGGGGCTAAAGCTTGAGGTATAGAAGGACCCCCCTGAGCCTGTCCCTGCACTAGAATCAAAGCCAACATTTTGGGAATAAAGGCCAGACTGATAGCTGCTCAGTACAGGCTGAGCTGAAGATACTCTCTGGGAAGCCGTTTGGACAGGCTGCTCCAAAGCACCTACCAGCAAGGAGCTTTGCACAGGCTGTGAAGCGCTAGCAGAGGGCTTAAAGCTTGTGGTGTAAGAAAATGCCCTTGAGCCACTTGATCCCACTGCACTAGAATCAAAGCCAACACTTGGGGAAACAAAGCTAGGTGGAGAACTACTCCACACAGGCTGGGCTGAAGCTACCTGCTGGTTGTTGCTTTGGACAGGCTTAGAGGTGCTGGTGGAGGGCTTAAAGCTTGATGGGTAGAACACCACCCTTGAGCCTGTTCCCATTGCTGCACTAGAATCAAAGCCAACATTTTGGGAATAAAGGCCAGACTGATAGCTGCTCTGTACAGGCTGAGCTGAAGATACTCTCAGGGAAGCAGTTTGGACAGGCTGCTCTGAAGCTCCTTGCTGGTAGGTGCTTTGCACAGGCTGTGAAGCACTAGTAGAGGGCTTCAAGCTTGTGGTGTAAGAATATGCCCTTGAGCCACTTGATCCCACTGCACTAGAATCAAAGCCAACACTTGGGGAAACAAAGCTAGGTGGAGAACTACTCCACACAGGCTGGGCTGAAGCTACCTGCTGGTTGTTGCTTTGGACAGGCTTAGAGGTGCTGGTGGAGGGCTTAAAGCTTGATGGGTAGAACACCACCCTTGAGCCTGTTCCCATTGCTGCACTAGAATCAAAGCCAACATTTTGGGAATAAAGGCCAGACTGATAGCTGCTCTGTACAGGCTGAGCTGAAGATACTCTCAGGGAAGCAGTTTGGACAGGCTGCTCTGAAGCTCCTTGCTGGTAGGTGCTTTGCACAGGCTGTGAAGCACTAGTAGAGGGCTTCAAGCTTGTGGTGTAAGAATATGCCCTTGAGCCCCTTGATCCCACTGCACTAGAATCAAAGCCAACACTTGGGGAAACAAAGCTAGGTGGAGAACTACTCCACACAGGCTGTGTGGAAGCTACCTGTTGATATGCTGACTGGACAGGCTGGGCTGAGACTTGTTGTACAGAGGTGCCCAGGGCAGGCTTGGAAACCGTAGTCAATGGCTGAAAGCTTGAGGTATAGGTAGACTCCTGAAAGCTGTATGCCCTAGAGTCACTTGATCCCACTGCACTAGAATCATAGCCAACACTTGGGGAAAAAAGGCCAGACTGATAGCTGCTCTGTACAGGTTGAGCTGAAGATACTCTCTGGGAAGCAGCTTGGACAGGCTGCTCTGACACTCGTTGCTGGTAGGTGCTTGGGACAGGCTGGGCTGAAGCAACCCATTGGTAGCTGCTTTGGACTGGCCTTGAAGTGCTAGCAGAGGGCTTGAAGCTTGAGGTATAGGTAGACTCCTGAAAGCTGTATGCCCTAGAGTCACTTGATCCCACTGCACTAGAATCATAGCCAACACTTGGGGAAAAAAGGCCAGACTGATAGCTGCTCTGTACAGGTTGAGCTGAAGATACTCTCTGGGAAGCAGCTTGGACAGGCTGCTCTGACACTCGTTGCTGGTAGGTGCTTGGGACAGGCTGGGCTGAAGCAACCCATTGGTAGCTGCTTTGGACTGGCTTTGAAGTGCTAGCAGAGGGCTTGAAGCTTGAGGTGTATGAATATGCCCCTGAGAGACTTGATCCTGCTCCACCAAGATCCAAGCCTACATTGGGGGAAACAGAGCTAGAAGCAGAACTACTAGGGACAGGCTGGGCTGAGGCCGCCTGCTGGTAGGCGCCCGGGACAGGCTGGGCTGAGGCCGCCTGCTGGTAGGCGCCCGGGACAGGCTGGGCTGAGGCCGCCTGCTGGTAGGCGCCCGGGACAGGCTGGGCTGAGGCCGCCTGCTGGTAGGCGCCCGGGACAGGCTGGGCTGAGGCCGCCTGCTGGTAGCTGCTTTGGACAGGCTGGGCTGAGGCCGCCTGCTGGTAGCTGCTTTGGACAGGCTGGGCTGAGGCCGCCTGCTGGTAGCTGCTTTGGACTGGTTTTGCAGTGCTAGTAGAAGGCCTAAACCCTGAAGTGTATGAAAATGCCCCCAAGACACTTGATCCAGTTCCTGTTGCACCAGAATCCAAGCCTACATTGGGGGACACAAAGCTAGATAGAGAACTACTCTGCACAGGCTGGGCTGAGGCTGCCTGTTGGTAGGCGCTTGGGACAGGCTGGGCTGAGGCTGCCTGTTGGTAGGCGCTTGGGACAGGCTGGGCTGAGGCTGCCTGTTGGTAGGCAGTGCTTAGTGCAGGCTTGTAACCACTAGTCAACGGCTGAAAGCTTGAGGTATAGCTAGATTCCTGAAAGCTGTATGCCCTAGAGCCACTTGTTCCCTCTGCACTAGAATCAAAGCCAACATTTTGGGAAACAAAGCTGGATGGCAAACTGCTCTGCACAGGCCGATATGAAACTCCCTGCTGGTAGGTGCTTTGGGCAGGTCTTTGAGTGCTAACAGAGGGCTTGTAGCTTGAGGTATAGGAAACGTCCTGAGAGCTGAACAGCCTCGAACCACTTTGTCCTGTTCCCGCAGCACTAGCACCAAAGCCAACACTTGGGGAAAAAAGGCCAGACTGATAGCTGCTCTGTACAGGTTGAGCTGAAGATAGTCTCTGGGAAGCAGCTTGGACAGGCTGCTCTGACACTCTTTGCTGGTAGGTGCTTGGGACAGACTGGGCTGAAGCAACCTGCTGGTAGGTGCTTTGGACTGGCTTTGAAGTGCTAGCAGACGGCTTAAAGCTTGAAGTGAAGAAAGACACCCTTGAGCCTGTTCCTGTTGCTGCACTAGAATCAAAGCCAACATTTTGAGAAACAAAGCTGGATGGAGAACTACCCTGCACAGGCTGGGCTGAAGCTGCCTGCTGGTATGCTGTCTGGACAGACTGGTCTGAGGCTTGTTCTAAGGAGGTGCTTAAGGCAGGCTTAGGAACCCTAGTTAGTGGCTGAAAGCTTGAGGTGTAGGTAGATTCCTGAAAGCTGAATGCCCTTGAGTCACTTGAGCCCACATCAGTCACACTAGAATCAAAGGCCTCAGTTTCCGAGGAGTCCTGGGTTTCCTGAAAATAAGGTTCTTGACTAGGCCCAAATCCAGAATCAGAGCTTGCCTGAGCAGGAGTCATTTCAGTGGTCCCATCCTGAGCACCATCGTTTGTGCAACCATGTCTGTAAACTAAGCATACTTCACATTAAAAGCATGTAGTTTGTTAGAACTTTTCAGCTTGCTAATGGAGAGTGAAAACTTACCACTTCCTGCATCACAGTGCACAGCATAATTCAGCACCAGTAACAAAATCCTGTTGAACACAGACATAATTAACAAAGAAAGCAAACTTTTCTATTAAAAATCACTAAATGAAATTAACATACCACAAAGGTTTCCAGATTGTTTCTGCCATTGCTAAAATCAAAGCTCCAAAACCAACCCTGGCCACCCTCAAAAAACAGACAAATGTTTCTCTGCTACTTCTCCAAGCAGCCACATGTTCCGTTAATATCATCAAAATGCACCTGCCCCGAGTCTCCCTATTGGCTGCTTGGATGACGTGTTCACATCGCCTGTTTGTTAAGGTAATGAGCAATTGACAGGTCCCAATTAGGCCTCATTACTTCATGGTTTTCAATGCAAAAGACCTTGTGTTGCAAATGTCTTTTAAAAGCTTATTACTTGAAAGAAATGCATTTGGGAAATGCATTTTGAAGGATTTCTGCTCATTTCAAGTCAATTATATTGCATCGCTAATAAACATAGTATATGATGGGTTACTTTCGTACATGTCAGTCACAACAGATGTCTGAGACAAAATAAGATGCCAGAATGCCCATTTAATATTTCTTTTGGAAGATTAAGTGTGTCTGATATTCGAGTGTACACTCGCAAAAACAATTTTCTCCGATTTTACATCACTAGCTACATTGCCATCTAAATGATTTTTTTTTTTTTGATGAATCTGAAATCTAAAAATCATATTGTTAGAAAAGTGTGACTTAAATAGAGAGGACCTTTGGTTTAATCTATATTTTCTGTTTTGATGTCTGTGCACAGACTCATGGGAAATGCAGTCCATACACTGTCAGCATCATTCAAGTTACTGTAGCAGACTGAGCCACTGATAAAGATGTTTGAAGTGAAGGATGTTTAAACACGAGGCCGACTACCTATGATAACAGAAGCTAGGGGCAGTTTGTTATTCACTGTAGGCTGTAGTTCTCCTCTGGATTAAAAACAAGAGCTCTATTCTTTTGCCTCTTTGGACTATAGAATCTGGTTCCAGTAGTGTCTAGCAAACTTCAGTCACACGGTTAAATTTGAGGAAAGCCTTTTCTTATGACACACCTGATTACATCACTGGCAAGGTGGTGGTGTCTAATTGAAATTTTAGGATCCTAAAATCCTACTACCTTCCACAAATCTGATTCTTGGAGAAATTTGTTTCTGTGACAGTCTGTGTGTACAATGGGATCAAGATACACCTGTAACCTTATTGCTCTAAAAGGGAATGTGTATTTTCAAGTTTGTAGCCATTTTTATAGCCACTGTTTTCTGAAAGTCAATCGAGTTCGAGTTATTCACCAATTGTTATCTACCAAATAGAGCTTAACCTCCACCTCACGCTTAAGCTCAACCTAAGCATGTCATGACCACTCAAGGGTCCCCCCTCCCTTTACAAAACATTAGATCTCATTTTTCATTGAAAATGAATTAAGCCAAGACACCCCCCACCTTCCCAACGGTGGCCAATAACTGAGCTTACCCTTTACTTTAATAAGCAGTGACCCAAAAGTCAACAGATTGTCTCAGTACATTCCCTCAGCCCATTTCCCTATAAGGCAGGCTTGACTTTGGGCTAAAGCCATCTGGCTAAACAACAATTCTGTACAGTTAAATACTCCGAGGGCTACTGGCAAAAAGCACAGGAAATGAGGAAAAAAAAAAGAAGGCATAGCTTATTGGGTTCTGCAGATTTTAGCGCCCCAAATAAACTTCCTGAACACTTGCATTAAAACAAGACAACCCAAACATAGTTGCAAATATTTATTTAGAATTTTTTTGAATCAAAAGGTTCAGCTGCTGCAACAATCCAACCTGAAAGCAGAAACAGTACAAGGTAAGCACATGCAGGTGCACAAAATTGAGATGAGCTGAAACAAGTTAAGAACTGACTTACCATGGAGTGGAAGTTATCAGCTATTCCAGCGTCTTTTGTGTCCACGTTAATCTTGGAGAGCCAGCAGAGGGTTCAGAGTCGTCTAGGGAACTCACAGCCTGAGCATAGGAATATGGTGATCTGAACCCTTGAGCAGATACTGGAGTCAAGCCAGGTCTAAGAGCCATGTCTTGGGCAGGCAAAGCCACTGAGTCTGAAGGGGTATACACACTCCTTGAACCGGTTGAGGTCACACCACTCAAACTAGCACCATAGCTGGTTTGGGGAAAAGGCACATCTTGGTAACGGCTCTGAACAGGCTGGGCTGCAGTCACCTGTCGGTAAGTACTTTGGGAAGGTGTAGATATGCTGGTGAAAGGGCTGTAGTTTAATCCAGATGTAGCATCTTCAGAACTGTAGTCATTTCTCAAGACGCTTTCTTCCACATCAGTCAGAGAAGAATCCATTCTAATATTTTGGGAAGCAGCTTCAGGTGGATAGTTACTCTGAGCTGGCTGAGCCAAAGCTAACTGTTGGAAAGGGCTTTCAACAGGCTTAGAAATGCTAGTACGGGGGTTACGGCTTGAGGGATAGGAAGATCCTGAAGAGCTGTAGGCCCTCGAGTCACTTGATGCCAGTCCAATCCCACTGGTTCCAGATGGATAACTGCTCTGCACTGGCTGGGATGAAGTTACTTGCTGGTAGCTGCTTGGGACAGGCTTAGAAATGCTGTTGGGGGGGCTAAACCTTGAGGTATAGAAGGACCCCCCTGAGCCTGTCCCTGCACTAGAATCAAAGCCAACATTTTGGGAATAAAGGCCAGACTGATAGCTGCTCAGTACAGGCTGAGCTGAAGATACTCTCTGGGAAGCCGTTTGGACAGGCTGCTCCAAAGCACCTACCAGCAAGGAGCTTTGCACAGGCTGTGAAGCGCTAGCAGAGGGCTTAAAGCTTGTGGTGTAAGAAAATGCCCTTGAGCCACTTGATCCCACTGCACTAGAATCAAAGCCAACACTTGGGGAAACAAAGCTAGGTGGAGAACTACTCCACACAGGCTGGGCTGAAGCTACCTGCTGGTTGTTGCTTTGGACAGGCTTAGAGGTGCTGGTGGAGGGCTTAAAGCTTGATGGGTAGAACACCACCCTTGAGCCTGTTCCCATTGCTGCACTAGAATCAAAGCCAACATTTTGGGAATAAAGGCCAGACTGATAGCTGCTCTGTACAGGCTGAGCTGAAGATACTCTCAGGGAAGCAGTTTGGACAGGCTGCTCTGAAGCTCCTTGCTGGTAGGTGCTTTGCACAGGCTGTGAAGCACTAGTAGAGGGCTTCAAGCTTGTGGTGTAAGAATATGCCCTTGAGCCCCTTGATCCCACTGCACTAGAATCAAAGCCAACACTTGGGGAAACAAAGCTAGGTGGAGAACTACTCCACACAGGCTGTGTGGAAGCTACCTGTTGATATGCTGACTGGACAGGCTGGGCTGAGACTTGTTGTACAGAGGTGCCCAGGGCAGGCTTGGAAACCGTAGTCAATGGCTGAAAGCTTGAGGTATAGGTAGACTCCTGAAAGCTGTATGCCCTAGAGTCACTTGATCCCACTGCACTAGAATCATAGCCAACACTTGGGGAAAAAAGGCCAGACTGATAGCTGCTCTGTACAGGTTGAGCTGAAGATACTCTCTGGGAAGCAGCTTGGACAGGCTGCTCTGACACTCGTTGCTGGTAGGTGCTTGGGACAGGCTGGGATGAAGCAACCCATTGGTAGCTGCTTTGGACTGGCCTTGAAGTGCTAGCAGAGGGCTTGAAGCTTGAGGTATAGGTAGACTCCTGAAAGCTGTATGCCCTAGAGTCACTTGATCCCACTGCACTAGAATCATAGCCAACACTTGGGGAAAAAAGGCCAGACTGATAGCTGCTCTGTACAGGTTGAGCTGAAGATACTCTCTGGGAAGCAGCTTGGACAGGCTGCTCTGACACTCGTTGCTGGTAGGTGCTTGGGACAGGCTGGGCTGAAGCAACCCATTGGTAGCTGCTTTGGACTGGCTTTGAAGTGCTAGCAGAGGGCTTGAAGCTTGAGGTGTATGAATATGCCCCTGAGAGACTTGATCCTGCTCCACCAAAATCCAAGCCTACATTGGGGGAAACAGAGCTAGAAGCAGAACTACTAGGGACAGGCTGGGCTGAGGCCGCCTGCTGGTAGGCGCCCGGGACAGGCTGGGCTGAGGCCGCCTGCTGGTAGGCGCCCGGGACAGGCTGGGCTGAGGCCGCCTGCTGGTAGGCGCCCGGGACAGGCTGGGCTGAGGCCGCCTGCTGGTAGCTGCTTTGGACTGGTTTTGCAGTGCTAGTAGAAGGCCTAAACCCTGAAGTGTATGAAAATGCCCCCAAGACACTTGATCCAGTTCCTGTTGCACCAGAATCCAAGCCTACATTGGGGGACACAAAGCTAGATAGAGAACTACTCTGCACAGGCTGGGCTGAGGCTGCCTGTTGGTAGGCGCTTGGGACAGGCTGGGCTGAGGCTGCCTGTTGGTAGGCGCTTGGGACAGGCTGGGCTGAGGCTGCCTGTTGGTAGGCGCTTGGGACAGGCTGGGCTGAGGCTGCCTGTTGGTAGGCGCTTGGGACAGGCTGGGCTGAGGCTGCCTGTTGGTAGGCGCTTGGGACAGGCTGGGCTGAGGCTGCCTGTTGGTAGGCCGTGCTTAGTGCAGGCTTGTAACCACTAGTCAATGGCTGAAAGCTTGAGGTATAGCTAGATTCCTGCAAGCTGTATGCCCTAGAGCCACTTGTTCCCTCTGCACTAGAATCAAAGCCAACATTTTGGGAAACAAAGCTGGATGGCAAACTGCTCTGCACAGGCCGATATGAAACTCCCTGCTGGTAGGTGCTTTGGGCAGGTCTTTGAGTGCTAACAGAGGGCTTGTAGCTTGAGGTATAGGAAACGTCCTGAGAGCTGAACAGCCTCGAACCACTTTGTCCTGTTCCCGCAGCACTAGCACCAAAGCCAACACTTGGGGAAAAAAGGCCAGACTGATAGCTGCTCTGTACAGGTTGAGCTGAAGATAGTCTCTGGGAAGCAGCTTGGACAGGCTGCTCTGACACTCTTTGCTGGTAGGTGCTTGGGACAGGCTGGGCTGAAGCAACCTGCTGGTAGGTGCTTTGGACTGGCTTTGAAGTGCTAGCAGACGGCTTAAAGCTTGAAGTGAAGAAAGACCCCCTTGAGCCTGTTCCTGCACTAGAATCAAAGCCAACATTTTGAGAAACAAAGCTGGATGGAGAACTACCCTGCACAGGCTGGGCTGAAGCTGCCTGCTGGTATGCTGTCTGGACAGACTGGTCTGAGGCTTGTTCTAAGGAGGTGCTTAAGGCAGGCTTAGGAACCCTAGTTAGGGGCTGAAAGCTTGAGGTGTAGGTAGATTCCTGAAAGCTGAATGCCCTTGAGTCACTTGAGCCCACATCAGTCACACTAGAATCAAAGGCCTCAGTTTCCGAGGAGTCCTGGGTTTCCTGAAAATAAGGTTCTTGACTAGGCCCAAATCCAGAATCAGAGCTTGCCTGAGCAGGAGTCATTTCAGTGGTCCCATCCTGAGCACCATCGTTTGTGCAACCATGTCTGTAAACTAAGCATACTTCACATTAAAAGCATGTAGTTTGTTAGAACTTTTCAGCTTGCTAATGGAGAGTGAAAACTTACCACTTCCTGCATCACAGTGCACAGCATAATTCAGCACCAGTAACAAAATCCTGTTGAACACAGACATAATTAACAAAGAAAGCAAACTTTTCTATTAAAAATCACTAAATGAAATTAACATACCACAAAGGTTTCCAGATTGTTTCTGCCATTGCTAAAATCAAAGCTCCAAAACCAACCCTGGCCACCCTCAAAAAACAGACAAATGTTTCTCTGCTACTTCTCCAAGCAGCCACATGTTCCGTTAATATCATCAAAATGCACCTGCCCCGAGTCTCCCTATTGGCTGCTTGGATGACGTGTTCACATCGCCTGTTTGTTAAGGTAATGAGCAATTGACAGGTCCCAATTAGGCCTCATTACTTCATGGTTTTCAATGCGCAAGACCTTGTGTTGCAAATGTCTTTTAAAAGCTTATTACTTGAAAGAAATGCATTTGGGAAATGCATTTTGAAGGATTTCTGCTCATTTCAAGTCAATTATATTGCATCGCTAATAAACATAGTATATGATGGGTTACTTTCGTACATGTCAGTCACGACAGATGTCTGAGACAAAATAAGATGCCAGAATGCCCATTTAATATTTCTTTTGGAAGATTAAGTGTGTCTGATATTCGAGTGTACACTCGCAAAAACAATTTTCTCAGATTTTACATCACTAGCTACATTGCCATCTAAAAGATTTTTTTTTTTTTGATGAATCTGAAATCTAAAAATCATGTTGTTAGAAAAGTGTGACTTAAATAGAGAGGACCTTTGGTTTAATCTATATTTTCTGTTTTGATGTCTGTGCACAGACTCATGGGAAATGCAGTCCATACACTGTCAGCATCATTCAAGTTACTGTAGCAGACTGAGCCACTGATAAAGATGTTTGAAGTGAAGGATGTTTAAACACGAGGCCGACTACCTATGATAACAGAAGCTAGGGGCAGTTTGTTATTCACTGTAGGCTGTAGTTCTCCTCTGGATTAAAAACAAGAGCTCTATTCTTTTGCCTCTTTGGACTATAGAATCTGGTTCCAGTAGTGTCTAGCAAACTTCAGTCACACGGTTAAATTTGAGGAAAGCCTTTTCTTATGACACACCTGATTACATCACTGGCAAGGTGGTGGTGTCTAATTGAAATTTTAGGATCCTAAAATCCTACTACCTTCCACAAATCTGATTCTTGGAGAAATTTGTTTCTGTGACAGTCTGTGTGTACAATGGGATCAAGATACACCTGTAACCTTATTGCTCTAAAAGGGAATGTGTATTTTCAAGTTTGTAGCCATTTTTATAGCCACTGTTTTCTGAAAGTCAATCGAGTTCGAGTTATTCACCAATTGTTATCTACCAAATAGAGCTTAACCTCCACCTCACGCTTAAGCTCAACCTAAGCATGTCATGACCACTCAAGGGTCCCCCCCTCCCTTTACAAAACATTAGATCTCATTTTTCATTGAAAATGAATTAAGCCAAGACACCCCCCACCTTCCCAATGGTGGCCAATAACTGAGCTTACCCTTTACTTTAATAAGCAGTGACCCAAAAGTCAACAGATTGTCTCAGTACATTCCCTCAGCCCATTTCCCTATAAGGCAGGCTTGACTTTGGGCTAAAGCCATCTGGCTAAACAACAATTCTGTACAGTTAAATACTCTGAGGGCTACTGGCAAAAAGCACAGGAAATGAGGAAAAAAAAAGAAAGCAAGAAAAGGCATAGCTTATTGGGTTCTGCAGATTTTAGCGCCCCAAATAAACTTCCTGAACACTTGCATTAAAACAAGACAACCCAAACATAGTTGCAAATATTTATTTAGAATTTTTTTGAATCAAAAGGTTCAGCTGCTGCAACAATCCAACCTGAAAGCAGAAACAGTACAAGGTAAGCACATGCAGGTGCACAAAATTGAGATGAGCTGAAACAAGTTAAGAACTGACTTACCATGGAGTGGAAGTTATCAGCTATTCCAGCGTCTTTTGTGTCCACGTTAATCTTGGAGAGCCAGCAGAGGGTTCAGAGTCGTCTAGGGAACTCACAGCCTGAGCATAGGAATATGGTGATCTGAACCCTTGAGCAGATACTGGAGTCAAGCCAGGTCTAAGAGCCATGTCTTGGGCAGGCAAAGCCACTGAGTCTGAAGGGGTATACACACTCCTTGAACCGGTTGAGGTCACACCACTCAAACTAGCACCATAGCTGGTTTGGGGAAAAGGCACATCTTGGTAACGGCTCTGAACGGGCTGGGCTGCAGTCACCTGTCGGTAAGTACTTTGGGAAGGTGTAGATATGCTGGTGAAAGGGCTGTAGTTTAATCCAGATGTAGCATCTTCAGAACTGTAGTCATTTCTCAAGACGCTTTCTTCCACATCAGTCAGAGAAGAATCCATTCTAATATTTTGGGAAGCAGCTTCAGGTGGATAGCTACTCTGAGCCAAAGCTAACTGTTGGAAAGGGCTTTCAACAGGCTTAGAAATGCTAGTAGGGGGGTTACGGCTTGAGGGATAGGAAGATCCTGAAGAGCTGTAGGCCCTCGAGTCACTTGATGCCAGTCCAGTCCCACTGGTTCCAGATGGATAACTACTCTGCACTGGCTGGGATGAAGTTACTTGCTGGTAGCTGCTTGGGACAGGCTTAGAAATGCTGTTGGGGGGGCTAAAGCTTGGGGTATAGAAGGACCCCCCTGAGCCTGTCCCTGCACTAGAATCAAAGCCAACATTTTGGGAATAAAGGCCAGACTGATAGCTGCTCAGTACAGGCTGAGCTGAAGATACTCTCTGGGAAGCCGTTTGGACAGGCTGCTCCAAAGCACCTACCAGCAAGGAGCTTTGCACAGGCTGTGAAGCGCTAGCAGAGGGCTTAAAGCTTGTGGTGTAAGAAAATGCCCTTGAGCCACTTGATCCCACTGCACTAGAATCAAAGCCAACACTTGGGGAAACAAAGCTAGGTGGAGAACTACTCCACACAGGCTGGGCTGAAGCTACCTGCTGGTTGTTGCTTTGGACAGGCTTAGAGGTGCTGGTGGAGGGCTTAAAGCTTGATGGGTAGAACACCACCCTTGAGCCTGTTCCCATTGCTGCACTAGAATCAAAGCCAACATTTTGGGAATAAAGGCCAGACTGATAGCTGCTCTGTACAGGCTGAGCTGAAGATACTCTCAGGGAAGCAGTTTGGACAGGCTGCTCTGAAGCTCCTTGCTGGTAGGTGCTTTGCACAGGCTGTGAAGCACTAGTAGAGGGCTTCAAGCTTGTGGTGTAAGAATATGCCCTTGAGCCCCTTGATCCCACTGCACTAGAATCAAAGCCAACACTTGGGGAAACAAAGCTAGGTGGAGAACTACTCCACACAGGCTGTGTGGAAGCTACCTGTTGATATGCTGACTGGACAGGCTGGGCTGAGACTTGTTGTACAGAGGTGCCCAGGGCAGGCTTGGAAACCGTAGTCAATGGCTGAAAGCTTGAGGTATAGGTAGACTCCTGAAAGCTGTATGCCCTAGAGTCACTTGATCCCACTGCACTAGAATCATAGCCAACACTTGGGGAAAAAAGGCCAGACTGATAGCTGCTCTGTACAGGTTGAGCTGAAGATACTCTCTGGGAAGCAGCTTGGACAGGCTGCTCTGACACTCGTTGCTGGTAGGTGCTTGGGACAGGCTGGGCTGAAGCAACCCATTGGTAGCTGCTTTGGACTGGCTTTGAAGTGCTAGCAGAGGGCTTGAAGCTTGAGGTGTATGAATATGCCCCTGAGAGACTTGATCCTGCTCCACCAAAATCGAAGCCTACATTGGGGGAAACAGAGCTAGAAGCAGAACTACTAGGGACAGGCTGGGCCGAGGCCGCCTGCTGGTAGGCGCCCGGGACAGGCTGGGCCGAGGCCGCCTGCTGGTAGGCGCCCGGGACAGGCTGGGCCGAGGCCGCCTGCTGGTAGGCGCCCGGGACAGGCTGGGCCGAGGCCGCCTGCTGGTAGGCGCCCGGGACAGGCTGGGCCGAGGCCGCCTGCTGGTAGCTGCTTTGGACTGGTTTTGCAGTGCTAGTAGAAGGCCTAAACCCTGAAGTGTATGAAAATGCCCCCAAGACACTTGATCCAGTTCCTGTTGCACCAGAATCCAAGCCTACATTGGGGGACACAAAGCTAGATAGAGAACTACTCTGCACAGGCTGGGCTGAGGCTGCCTGTTGGTAGGCGCTTGGGACAGGCTGGGCTGAGGCTGCCTGTTGGTAGGCGCTTGGGACAGGCTGGGCTGAGGCCGCCTGTTGGTAGGCGCCCGGGACAGGCTGGGCTGAGGCCGCCTGCTGGTAGGCGCCCGGGACAGGCTGGGCTGAGGCCGCCTGCTGGTAGGCGCCCGGGACAGGCTGGGCTGAGGCCGCCTGCTGGTAGCTGCTTTGGACTGGTTTTGCAGTGCTAGTAGAAGGCCTAAACCCTGAAGTGTATGAAAATGCCCCCAAGACACTTGATCCAGTTCCTGTTGCACCAGAATCCAAGCCTACATTGGGGGACACAAAGCTAGATAGAGAACTACTCTGCACAGGCTGGGCTGAGGCTGCCTGTTGGTAGGCGCTTGGGACAGGCTGGGCTGAGGCTGCCTGTTGGTAGGCGCTTGGGACAGGCTGGGCTGAGGCTGCCTGTTGGTAGGCGCTTGGGACAGGCTGGGCTGAGGCTGCCTGTTGGTAGGCCGTGCTTAGTGCAGGCTTGTAACCACTAGTCAATGGCTGAAAGCTTGAGGTATAGCTAGATTCCTGCAAGCTGTATGCCCTAGAGCCACTTGTTCCCTCTGCACTAGAATCAAAGCCAACATTTTGGGAAACAAAGCTGGATGGCAAACTGCTCTGCACAGGCCGATATGAAACTCCCTGCTGGTAGGTGCTTTGGGCAGGTCTTTGAGTGCTAACAGAGGGCTTGTAGCTTGAGGTATAGGAAACGTCCTGAGAGCTGAACAGCCTCGAACCACTTTGTCCTGTTCCCGCAGCACTAGCACCAAAGCCAACACTTGGGGAAAAAAGGCCAGACTGATAGCTGCTCTGTACAGGTTGAGCTGAAGATAGTCTCTGGGAAGCAGCTTGGACAGGCTGCTCTGACACTCTTTGCTGGTAGGTGCTTGGGACAGGCTGGGCTGAAGCAACCTGCTGGTAGGTGCTTTGGACTGGCTTTGAAGTGCTAGCAGACGGCTTAAAGCTTGAAGTGAAGAAAGACCCCCTTGAGCCTGTTCCTGCACTAGAATCAAAGCCAACATTTTGAGAAACAAAGCTGGATGGAGAACTACCCTGCACAGGCTGGGCTGAAGCTGCCTGCTGGTATGCTGTCTGGACAGACTGGTCTGAGGCTTGTTCTAAGGAGGTGCTTAAGGCAGGCTTAGGAACCCTAGTTAGGGGCTGAAAGCTTGAGGTGTAGGTAGATTCCTGAAAGCTGAATGCCCTTGAGTCACTTGAGCCCACATCAGTCACACTAGAATCAAAGGCCTCAGTTTCCGAGGAGTCCTGGGTTTCCTGAAAATAAGGTTCTTGACTAGGCCCAAATCCAGAATCAGAGCTTGCCTGAGCAGGAGTCATTTCAGTGGTCCCATCCTGAGCACCATCGTTTGTGCAACCATGTCTGTAAACTAAGCATACTTCACATTAAAAGCATGTAGTTTGTTAGAACTTTTCAGCTTGCTAATGGAGAGTGAAAACTTACCACTTCCTGCATCACAGTGCACAGCATAATTCAGCACCAGTAACAAAATCCTGTTGAACACAGACATAATTAACAAAGAAAGCAAACTTTTCTATTAAAAATCACTAAATGAAATTAACATACCACAAAGGTTTCCAGATTGTTTCTGCCATTGCTAAAATCAAAGCTCCAAAACCAACCCTGGCCACCCTCAAAAAACAGACAAATGTTTCTCTGCTACTTCTCCAAGCAGCCACATGTTCCGTTAATATCATCAAAATGCACCTGCCCCGAGTCTCCCTATTGGCTGCTTGGATGACGTGTTCACATCGCCTGTTTGTTAAGGTAATGAGCAATTGACAGGTCCCAATTAGGCCTCATTACTTCATGGTTTTCAATGCGCAAGACCTTGTGTTGCAAATGTCTTTTAAAAGCTTATTACTTGAAAGAAATGCATTTGGGAAATGCATTTTGAAGGATTTCTGCTCATTTCAAGTCAATTATATTGCATCGCTAATAAACATAGTATATGATGGGTTACTTTCGTACATGTCAGTCACGACAGATGTCTGAGACAAAATAAGATGCCAGAATGCCCATTTAATATTTCTTTTGGAAGATTAAGTGTGTCTGATATTCGAGTGTACACTCGCAAAAACAATTTTCTCAGATTTTACATCACTAGCTACATTGCCATCTAAAAGATTTGATGAATCTGAAATCTAAAAATCATATTGTTAGAAAAGTGTGACTTAAATAGAGAGGACCTTTGGTTTAATCTATATTTTCTGTTTTGATGTCTGTGCACAGACTCATGGGAAATGCAGTCCATACACTGTCAGCATCATTCAAGTTTCTGTAGCAGACTGAGCCACTGATAAAGATGTTTGAAGTGAAGGATGTTTAAAGACGAGGCCGACTACCTATGATAACAGAAGCTAGGGGCAGTTTGTTATTCACTGTAGGCTGTAGTTCTCCTCTGGATTAAAAACAAGAGCTCTATTCTTTTGCCTCTTTGGACTATAGAATCTGGTTCCAGTAGTGTCTAGCAAACTTCAGTCACACGGTTAAATTTGAGGAAAGCCTTTTCTTATGACACACCTGATTACATCACTGGCAAGGTGGTGGTGTCTAATTGAAATTTTAGGATCCTAAAATCCTACTACCTTCCACAAATCTGATTCTTGGAGAAATTTGTTTCTGTGACAGTCTGTGTGTACAATGGGATCAAGATACACCTGTAACCTTATTGCTCTAAAAGGGAATGTGTATTTTCAAGTTTGTAGCCATTTTTATAGCCACTGTTTTCTGAAAGTCAATCGAGTTCGAGTTATTCACCAATTGTTATCTACCAAATAGAGCTTAACCTCCACCTCACGCTTAAGCTCAACCTAAGCATGTCATGACCACTCAAGGGTCCCCCCTCCCTTTACAAAACATTAGATCTCATTTTTCATTGAAAATGAATTAAGCCAAGACACCCCCCACCTTCCCAACGGTGGCCAATAACTGAGCTTACCCTTTACTTTAATAAGCAGTGACCCAAAAGTCAACAGATTGTCTCAGTACATTCCCTCAGCCCATTTCCCTATAAGGCAGGCTTGACTTTGGGCTAAAGCCATCTGGCTAAACAACAATTCTGTACAGTTAAATACTCCGAGGGCTACTGGCAAAAAGCACAGGAAATGAGGAAAAAAAAAAGAAGGCATAGCTTATTGGGTTCTGCAGATTTTAGCGCCCCAAATAAACTTCCTGAACACTTGCATTAAAACAAGACAACCCAAACATAGTTGCAAATATTTATTTAGAATTTTTTTGAATCAAAAGGTTCAGCTGCTGCAACAATCCAACCTGAAAGCAGAAACAGTACAAGGTAAGCACATGCAGGTGCACAAAATTGAGATGAGCTGAAACAAGTTAAGAACTGACTTACCATGGAGTGGAAGTTATCAGCTATTCCAGCGTCTTTTGTGTCCACGTTAATCTTGGAGAGCCAGCAGAGGGTTCAGAGTCGTCTAGGGAACTCACAGCCTGAGCATAGGAATATGGTGATCTGAACCCTTGAGCAGATACTGGAGTCAAGCCAGGTCTAAGAGCCATGTCTTGGGCAGGCAAAGCCACTGAGTCTGAAGGGGTATACACACTCCTTGAACCGGTTGAGGTCACACCACTCAAACTAGCACCATAGCTGGTTTGGGGAAAAGGCACATCTTGGTAACGGCTCTGAACGGGCTGGGCTGCAGTCACCTGTCGGTAAGTACTTTGGGAAGGTGTAGATATGCTGGTGAAAGGGCTGTAGTTTAATCCAGATGTAGCATCTTCAGAACTGTAGTCATTTCTCAAGACGCTTTCTTCCACATCAGTCAGAGAAGAATCCATTCTAATATTTTGGGAAGCAGCTTCAGGTGGATAGCTACTCTGAGCCAAAGCTAACTGTTGGAAAGGGCTTTCAACAGGCTTAGAAATGCTAGTAGGGGGGTTACGGCTTGAGGGATAGGAAGATCCTGAAGAGCTGTAGGCCCTCGAGTCACTTGATGCCAGTCCAGTCCCACTGGTTCCAGATGGATAACTACTCTGCACTGGCTGGGATGAAGTTACTTGCTGGTAGCTGCTTGGGACAGGCTTAGAAATGCTGTTGGGGGGGCTAAAGCTTGGGGTATAGAAGGACCCCCCTGAGCCTGTCCCTGCACTAGAATCAAAGCCAACATTTTGGGAATAAAGGCCAGACTGATAGCTGCTCAGTACAGGCTGAGCTGAAGATACTCTCTGGGAAGCCGTTTGGACAGGCTGCTCCAAAGCACCTACCAGCAAGGAGCTTTGCACAGGCTGTGAAGCGCTAGCAGAGGGCTTAAAGCTTGTGGTGTAAGAAAATGCCCTTGAGCCACTTGATCCCACTGCACTAGAATCAAAGCCAACACTTGGGGAAACAAAGCTAGGTGGAGAACTACTCCACACAGGCTGGGCTGAAGCTACCTGCTGGTTGTTGCTTTGGACAGGCTTAGAGGTGCTGGTGGAGGGCTTAAAGCTTGATGGGTAGAACACCACCCTTGAGCCTGTTCCCATTGCTGCACTAGAATCAAAGCCAACATTTTGGGAATAAAGGCCAGACTGATAGCTGCTCTGTACAGGCTGAGCTGAAGATACTCTCAGGGAAGCAGTTTGGACAGGCTGCTCTGAAGCTCCTTGCTGGTAGGTGCTTTGCACAGGCTGTGAAGCACTAGTAGAGGGCTTCAAGCTTGTGGTGTAAGAATATGCCCTTGAGCCCCTTGATCCCACTGCACTAGAATCAAAGCCAACACTTGGGGAAACAAAGCTAGGTGGAGAACTACTCCACACAGGCTGTGTGGAAGCTACCTGTTGATATGCTGACTGGACAGGCTGGGCTGAGACTTGTTGTACAGAGGTGCCCAGGGCAGGCTTGGAAACCGTAGTCAATGGCTGAAAGCTTGAGGTATAGGTAGACTCCTGAAAGCTGTATGCCCTAGAGTCACTTGATCCCACTGCACTAGAATCATAGCCAACACTTGGGGAAAAAAGGCCAGACTGATAGCTGCTCTGTACAGGTTGAGCTGAAGATACTCTCTGGGAAGCAGCTTGGACAGGCTGCTCTGACACTCGTTGCTGGTAGGTGCTTGGGACAGGCTGGGATGAAGCAACCCATTGGTAGCTGCTTTGGACTGGCCTTGAAGTGCTAGCAGAGGGCTTGAAGCTTGAGGTATAGGTAGACTCCTGAAAGCTGTATGCCCTAGAGTCACTTGATCCCACTGCACTAGAATCATAGCCAACACTTGGGGAAAAAAGGCCAGACTGATAGCTGCTCTGTACAGGTTGAGCTGAAGATACTCTCTGGGAAGCAGCTTGGACAGGCTGCTCTGACACTCGTTGCTGGTAGGTGCTTGGGACAGGCTGGGCCGAGGCCGCCTGCTGGTAGGCGCCCGGGACAGGCTGGGCCGAGCCCGCCTGCTGGTAGGCGCCCGGGACAGGCTGGGCCGAGGCCGCCTGCTGGTAGCTGCTTTGGACTGGTTTTGCAGTGCTAATAGAAGGCCTAAACTCTGAAGTGTATGAAAATGCCCCCAAGACACTTGATCCAGTTCCTGTTGCACCAGAATCCAAGCCTACATTGGGGGACACAAAGCTGGATAGAGAACTACTCTGCACAGGCAGGGCTGAGGCCGCCTGCTGGTAGGCGCTCGGGACAGGCTGGGCTGAGGCCGCCTGCTGGTAGGCGCTCGGGACAGGCTGGGCTGAGGCCGCCTGCTGGTAGGCGCTCGGGACAGGCTGGGCTGAGGCCGCCTGCTGGTAGGCGCTCGGGACAGGCTGGGCTGAGGCCGCCTGCTGGTAGGTCGTGCTTAGTGCAGGCTTGTAACCACTAGTCAACGGCTGAAAGCTTGAGGTATAGCTAGATTCCTGAAAGCTGTATGCCCTAGAGCCACTTGTTCCCTCTGCACTAGAATCAAAGCCAACATTTTGGGAAACAAAGCTGGATGGCAAACTGCTCTGCACAGGCCGATATGAAACTCCCTGCTGGTAGGTGCTTTGAGCAGGTCTTTGAGTGCTAACAGAGGGCTTGTAGCTTGAGGTATAGGAAACATCCCGAGAGCTGAACAGCCTCGAACCACTTTGTCCTGTTCCCACAGCACTAGCACCAAAGCCAACACTTGGGGAAAAAAGGCCAGACTGATAGCTGCTCTGTACAGGTTGAGCTGAAGATACTCTCTGGGAAGCAGCTTGGACAGGCTGCTCTGACACTCTTTGCTGGTAGGTGCTTGGGACAGGCTGGGCTGAAGCAACCTGCTGGTAGGTGCTTTGGACTGGCTTTGCAGTGCTAGCAGACGGCTTAAAGCTTGAAGTGAAGAAAGACACCCTTGAGCCTGTTCCTGTTGCTGCACTAGAATCAAAGCCAACATTTTGAGAAACAAAGCTGGATGGAGAACTACCCTGCACAGGCTGGGCTGAAGCTGCCTGCTGGTATGCTGTCTGGACAGACTGGTCTGAGGCTTGTTCTAAGGAGGTGCTTAGGGCAGGCTTAGGAACCCTAGTTAATGGCTGAAAGCTTGAGGTGTAGGTAGATTCCTGAAAGCTGAATGCCCTTGAGTCACTTGAGCCCACATCAGTCACACTAGAATCAAAGGCCTCAGTTTCTGAGGAGTCCTGGGTTTCCTGAAAATAAGGTTCTTGTCTAGGCCCAAATCCAGATTCAGAGCTTGCCTGAGCAGGAGTCATTTCAGTGGTCCCATCCTGAGCACCATCGTTTGTGCAACCATGTCTGTAAACTAAGCATACTTCACATTAAAAGCATGTAGTTTGTTAGAACATTTCAACTTGCTAATGGAGAGTGAAAACTTACCACTTCCTGCATCACCATGCACAGTATAACTCAGCACCAGTAACAAAGTCCTGTTGAACACAAATATAATTAAGAAAGAAAGCAAATTGTTTTCCATTAAAACATACTAGATGAAATTAACATACCACAAAGGCTTCCAGATTGTTTCTGCCATTGCTAAAATCAAAGCTCCAAAGACAACCCTGGTAACCCTTGAAAATAGACAAATGTTTCTCTGCTACTTCTCCCAGCAGCCACATGTTCCTTTAATATCATCAAAATGCACCTGCCCCGAGTCTCCCTATTGGCTGCTTGGATGACGTGTTCACAACATGTGTTTGTTAAGGTAATGAGCATCTGACATTTACCAATTAGGCCTCATTACTTCATTGTTCTCAACATGCAACACCTTGTGTTGCAAACGTCTTTTAAAAGCTTTTACTTAATATGGCAGGATGAAGTATTTGGATGCCTTTTATTATGATGGGTGCAATATTCCTTTGGAGCAGGGGTGCACAAATCTGGTCCTGGAGGGCTGGTGTCCAGCACAGTTTGGAGGTCCCCCAGCTCAAACACACCCACTTAACCTGGCAATTAACAGATAAATGTAGTGGTGGGTTGGAGCAGGTAAATCACCAAACTGTGCTGGATACCAGCCCTCCAGGACCGGAGTTGTGCACCCCTGCTTTGGAGGCTTTTATTGTGGTAGTCTTCCCATTCCCCATAGTTCTTCCCCTAGTAAGTGGTCCCAGGTGACTGAGTCCTTTAACGGCATTTCTTTGTTGGCCTTTGGTGCTGTTTGTTGTGGCTTGCTAAGACAGCAATTGGATCTCTTTGAATTTTTGTTGGTGTTGTGGACAGCCTAAGGTAGGAACAATCTTGGTTGTGATTTTAGTTCAATGGATGGTCGGATCTAAGTAGTGATGGCAAACCTGAGTTTTCTGAAGCTGTCCTCCTAACTGTGTTGAAAAATGGTTCATTACTCGAAGCTTTATGACACAGTGCCCATTAGTGCCATCTGGTGGCCAAAACCTCAAAGTGCTTCGTGTATCTGGCGAACATCTGTTTTGCAGCTTTTAAAACTGTGTTCGAGTGCATTACAACCATGGTATTTGTTGTTTAAATAAAATAAACCAATAAAACTAAATTGTTGTGCCTATCTCATTGCGCACATCCAGTATATATATATATATATATATATATATATATATATATATATGAACTGTATAAATTTATCTAGTTGAATTTTTTTCTTTATTTTTATATTTCTTTTCTCTTCTTTTTCTTCCAGATTGGGCTAGGCCAGGTGGTCAGTGGCTTGCAGCGGGTGGCTGTAGCTTAGACGGCTCATCACTGCACTTTTTTTGAGTTGTGTAATTGTTTTTTTTTCTTTTTTCTTTGTGTGATTTGTGTGTGTGTGTGTGTGTGTGTGTGTGTGTGTGTGTGTGTGTGTATTTGGAGTGACAACTAATTTATGAGGTGGTAGAGCTCTTAATCTTCCTCCGTAGACACCCACCAACACTTGACCCCTGCCCTTAGCTAATGCTGGTTAATGTATTTTTTTTTTTTTTGTTTTAATAAAGGAATAAAGTTGATTCTACTTTTTTATAAGGTTATACCTTTCCACTTTTGATATTTAAAGCAGGACACATTTTTGTTGTGGAAATTTTAAGCTTGAAGAAAGATGATATTTCATGTCCTTTGGTTGAAATAATCAATTTTGTTTTTTTGAAAGATATATTGGTGTATTTTTACATACTTGTTTCATATTTAAAAAAAGAAAATACATAAATAAATAATCTGTGGTGCAAACTTAAAACTATTGCCTTGCACTTTTTTGGTCACACTTAATATTAATTAAATGTTTTTTAATGAAAGAAATGCATTTTGGAAATGCTTTTTGAAGGATTTCTGCTAATTCCCAGTCGATTATATTTCATTCCTAATAAACATAGTATCTCATAGGTTACTTTTGTACATGTCAGTCACAAAAGATGTTGAAGACAAAATAAGATGCCAGAATGCCCATTTAATATTTCTTTTGGAAGATTGAGGGTGTCTAATATTTAAGTGTATACTGTGTGACCAATGAATGTTTGGTGACATACCCAGGATGGGCACTTGCAAAAATGATTTTGTCCAATGAGAAAACTGTATTCCAGAGTAAATTCTGCATTTGTTTTAGTTGGATAAGTTTAGCTTTTACATCACTAGCTACATTGCCATCTATCAGTTTTATGTTCCTCATTAAAAAGATTTCAAACCTTCAAAAAAATTGTCAATGCAGGTTATGGAGATGTAGATCTAACGAGGCAGGGGGGACATATCGCCTTCATTATTTGGACAGGGTTAAATTGTGCTTTTAACAGGCATGACTGCTTTTGCTTGATGAATCTGATTAAAAATTGTTTTTTTAAATCATATTATTAGACAAATATGACTTAATCAGAGAGGACCTTTGGTTTAATATATATATATTCTGTTTTGATGTCTGTGCACAGACTCATGGGAAATGCAGTCCATACACTGTAGCAGACTGAGCCCCTGATATTCAAGACAGTGAAGGATATTTAAACATGAGGCTGACTACCTGTGATAATGAAAACTAGTGCCAATGCTGGTTCCAGTAGTGTCTAGCAAACTTCAGGCAGTCACAAGATTAAATTTGAGAAAAGGCTTTTCTTATGGCACACCTGAATACATCACTGGCAAGAAGGTGGTGTCTAATTGTAACATTAGAAACTTTGTGATCCCAAACATTCTGCAAATCTCTTTGAAACTTGGAGAAATATCTGTTTCTGTGACAGTCTGTGTGTACAATGGGATCGTAATACACCTGCAACTTTATTGCTCTAAAAGGGAATGTGTATTTTTCAGTTTGTGGTTATTTTTATAGGCACTGTTTGTTTTATGAAAGTCAACTGATTTTTTTCAATTATTCACTAATCTTTATTTGCTGACAGACTGGTCTGAGGCTTGTTCTAAGGAGGTGCTTAAGGCAGGCTTAGGAACCCTAGTTAATGGCTGAAAGCAGCCACATGTTCCTTTAATATCATCAAAATGCACCTGCCCCGAGTCTCCCTATTGGCTGCTTGGATGACGTGTTCACATCGCCTGTTTGTTAAGGTAATGAGCAATTGACAGGTCCCAATTAGGCCGCATTACTTCATGGTTTTCAATGCGCAAGACCTTGTGTTGCAAATGTCTTTTAAAAGCTTATTACTTGAAAGAAATGCATTTGGGAAATGCATTTTTAAGGATTTCTGCTCATTTCAGGTCAATTATATTGCATCGCTAATAAACATAGTATATGATGGGTTACTTTCGTACATGTCAGTCACAACAGATGTCTGAGACAAAATAAGATGCCAGAATGCCCATTTAATATTTCTTTTGGAAGATTAAGTGTGTCTGATATTCGAGTGTACACTCGCAAAAACAATTTTCTCCGATTTTACATCACTAGCTACATTGCCATCTAAAAGATTTTTTTTTTGATGAATCTGATTCAAATTGTTTTTTAAAAATCATATTGTTAGAAAAGTGTGACTTAAATAGAGAGGACCTTTGGTTTAATCTATATTTTCTGTTTTGATGTCTGTGCACAGACTCATGGGAAATGCAGTCCATACACTGTCAGCATCATTCAAGTTACTGTGGCAGACTGAGCCACTGATAAAGATGTTTGAAGTGAAGGATGTTTAAACACGAGGCCGACTACCTATGATAACAGAAGCTAGTGGCAGTTTGTTATTCACTGTAGGCTGTAGTTCTCCTCTGGATTAAAAACAAAAGCTCTATTCTTTTGCCTCTTTGGACTATAGAATCTGGTTCCAGTAGTGTCTAGCAAACTTCAGTCACACGGTTAAATTTGAGGAAAGCCTTTTCTTATGACACACCTGATTACATCACTGGCAAGGTGGTGGTGTCTAATTGAAATTTTAGGATCCTAAAATTCTACTACCTTCCACAAATCTGATTCTTGGAGAAATTTGTTTCTGTGACAGTCTGTGTGTACAATGGGATCAAGATACACCTGTAACCTTATTGCTCTAAAAGGGAATGTGTATTTTCAAGTTTGTAGCCATTTTTATAGCCACTGTTTTCTGAAAGTCAATCAAGTTTGAGTTATTCACCAATTGTTATCTACCGAATAAAGCTTAACCTCCACCTCACGCTTAAGCTCAACCTAAGCATGTCATGACCACTCAAGGGCCCCCCCTCCCTTTACAAAACATTAGATCTCATTTTTCATTGAAAATGAATTAAGCCAAGACACCCCCACCTTCCCAATGGTGGCCAATAACTGAGCTTACCCTTTACTTTAATAAGCAGTGACCCAAAAGTCAACAGATTGTCTCAGTACATTCCCTCAGCCCATTTCCCTATAAGGCAGGCTTGACTTTGGGCTAAAGCCATCTGGCTAAACAACAATTCTGTACAGTTAAATACTCCAAGGGCTACTGGCAAAAAGCACAGGAAATGAGGAAAAAAAAAGAAAGCAAGAAAAAAGAGGCATAGCTTATTGGGTTCTGCAGATTTTAGAGCCCCAAATAAACTTCCTGAACACTTGCATTTAAAACAAGACAACCCAAACATAGTTGCAAATATTTATTTAGAATTTTTTTGAATCAAAAGGTTCAGCTGCTGCAACAATCCAACCTGAAAGCAGAAACAGTACAAGTTCAACACATGCAGGTGCACAAAATTGAGATGAGCTGAAACAAGTTAAGAACTGACTTACCATGGAGTGGAAGTTATCAGCTATTCCAGCGTCTTTTGTGTCCACGTTAATCTTGGAGAGCCAGCAGAGGGTTCAGAGTTATGTTGTCCAGAGTCCATCATTATCATATATGTTGTCTGGAGTCCATCGTCATCATCACATGTGTTGTCCTGAATCCATCATCATATTCATGTTTGTTGTCCTGAGGCCATCTTCATCATATGTGTTGTGCTGAGTCCATCACCATCATCATGTGTGTTGTCCTGAGTCCATCACCAAGCGTGTTGTCCTGAGTCCATCAACATCCTGTGTGTTGTCCTGTGTCCATCATCAAGTGTGTTGTCCTGAGTCCATCATAATTATCATCATCATGTGTGTTGTCCTAAGTCCATCATATGTGTTGTCCTGAGTCTATCATCATCATCATGTAAGTTGTCCTGAGTCCATCACCATCATCATGTGTGTTGTCCTGAGTCCATGATCATGATCATAAGTGTTGTCCTGTGTCCGTTATTATCATTGTGTGTGTTCTGCTGAGTTCATCATTATCATCATATTTGTGGTCATGAGTCCATCATCATCATCATGTGTGTTGTCCTGAGTCCATCACCAAGCGTGTTGTCCTGAGTCCATCAACATCCTGTGTGTTGTCCTGTGTCCATCATCAAGTGTGTTGTCCTGAGTCCATCATAATTATCATCATCATGTGTGTTGTCCTAAGTCCATCAAGTGTGTTGTCCTGAGTCCATCATAATCATCATGTATGTTGTCCTGAGTCCATCATCATCCTTATCATTATATATGTTGTCCTGAGTCCATCACCATCATCATCATGTGTTGTCCTGAGTCAATCATCATAATGTCTGTCACAAAACGTTAGGGGGCGCTTACCTCAGTGTCCTTAGGCTATCCACTGTAAGACTGTCACATGACGCTTGGGGGCACTTATCTTACCTGTCATGTAGGCTGAACCACTGTAATGTCTGTCGAATAATGCTAGGGGGCGCTTATGTCACCTGTCACATAGGCTAACATACTGTAATCTCAGTAACATATTGCTAGGGGGCGCTTATCTCGTGGTCATGTAGGCTGAGCCACTGTAATGTCTGTCACACAACGCTAGGGAGTGTTTATCTCATGGTCATGTAGGCTGAAACACTGTAATAACTGTTACATAACGCTAGGGAGCCCTTATCTCTTGGTCACGTAGGCTGAGCCACAATAATATCTCTCAAATTATACTACGAGGGCGCTTATCTCACCTGTCACATAGCCTGAGCCACTGTAATCTTGTTTGTGCTTACATAATGCTAGGGTCTTTAAAAGGCTAGGGATGTGAATGGTCTTCTTGATGACGGTGAGGATGAGAAAACGCTTAAAATCTGAGATATTTCTATTGAAAAGACCGGTACTGTAGAATGCGTATCTTCAACACAGCACCTGTGTGTGTTTGGGATGTGTATACCACCAATGCAGTTAGATAACCACCACAACATTTGCTCAGAACTCTAGCTAGTCCTTTATTGTTCTCAAGACTAAGCTGCTTCACGCTTTTCACGTTTTTTTTTGCTAGATTTTATCAAGTTGTTTTAGTTCTAATTTGTATTTGATTCTTCATCAGGTTTGAAGCACCTGCTGGTCCACCTCTGGCCATCAACCAGCAGCAACTATTTCAAGACTGGTTCTCAAATTTATGGTAACTTCTAGTGAGTTCCTGACATGATAATATGCTAATTTACTGAGTTACCATGAAGAAGAATTCTGGTGCACCAGGCCAAATTTGACCAAGCATTCTTATTATTTTCTTTGTTGTTTAAAAAGTAAATTGATTCAATCTTTCAGGTCTAAATGTACAGGTTGTACATTTAAATTTTGATTAGTTTAGTGCTAGTTTGCTCAGTCATGGTAAGAGCTTCTGAGGCGCGTTGCTAATTAGAGCCCAATCATTCTTGACATTTCACAGCATTTTTTATACTGTGCTTTTCACAAATTTCCCTCATGCTCAGCTTTGTTTATCTGAGTATAAAATAAGAACATAAACAGTACAGAGCTTTAACACAGGTGGGTCTTTCAAGGCTGTAAGCATTTTGTGGCCAGTCTTCACATTTAAGCTAAGAGCTCCAGAGAAACGTGAGGCTGAGAGTATCATGTGAATCAAAGCACATAAACTTACAGAGCTTCAATCAGTTGAAGCTGAATTTTCTCATTTTGTGAAATAAGAGCTTGATATAGTTTATGAACATTGTTAAAGTTTCAAACCATGTTGTATTAGTTGAGTTCAGTCTCGTCTCTATCTTGGGGTACGGTGGACTCTGCGGTCAAGAGCAGCCAAGTGTGATACCTTCGACTGAGGTAACTATTATTATTATTATTATTAAATAATATTATTTAATTATTATTAAATACCAACAAAATCAGAGTAAATAGAATTAAAAAGTCCTTTCTCTGAATCAGGGGTTCACATGTGAATTACGGTGTTGCAAGTAGTGAAATTTGAACATTTTACTGCAAAAAATTTTCTCTTATGAATCTGCTGTCAGAAGAAGTGAATAGCAGTTTTTCGGGTTTCATAAATGCATCTTAAGTTGTATAGAACCTGATTGAAAGCCGTCGCAATATCGGCGGCCACGGCCTAGGCTCTCAGGCTGGGCAATTATCGCGGCATAACCCCCAGGGCCACAGCATTGCTCCAAGGGTCTGGTAGCCACCCACAGGACAGAGAATGAAAGCAGGTAAAATTGGGCTGGTTTGTTTACTTCTTCTTCACTTGTTTGAGGTGTGAGCTTGTGATTCCATCTATAAGCTACAGGGCAAAAAGCATGTCACCATTAGGCTCACCCAAATTTCCAATATTGAAAATTTGAGTAGTTCTGAGCACCATCAACCCAGAAAGGCAGTGAGACAAACTAGTCAGACTAAATTTGTAAGACAAGACCTCCAGTGAAACAGCAACTCTTTGAAGACTGGTTCTCAAATTGATGGTAACTTTAAGTGATTTCCTGATATGATAAAATGCTAATTTTTTGAATGAGAAATCTGACACAACAAGCTATATTTGATCAAACAATCCGTTACATTTGTTTGATGCTGAAGTTAGAACATCAAGGTAAGAGCTGCTGAGACGCCATGCTAATTAGAGCCCAACTCTCCTCAACACTTCATAACAGTTTTATTTTTATAATCACACACACTCACACCTAGGGGTAATTCAGCATTTCCAATTGGCCTGACTGCATGTCTTTGGACTGTGGGAGGAAACCGGAGTACCCGGAGAAAACCCACGCAGACACGGGGAGAACATGCAAACTCCACACAGAAATGACCCTGGTCACCCAGCCGGAAATTGAACCCAGGCCCTTCTTGCTGTGAGGTGACAGCGCTACCCACTGCGCCACCGTGCCGCCTAAACTCGCATCATCTCACTTTTTTTATATATGAAACGTAGTTATGCAGAAACAGCATGTTTTGAATTCACTGATTTTGTGATGTCAGAGCACCTACCAAGTCCCACTGAAGTTATAAGAAGTGTTTCTCACCAAACATCTTTTTGAATGAGATACGTTACAGGGCAGCCAATGGAACATTATTCTTTAAAGCTCAGTAACATAAACAGCTTGTTTTGTGCTACTATTAATAGAAATTTAAAATAATTTTGCAGGCAGATAGGATTGTGTCACGGGCCTGATCTGGACCATGGGCCTTGTGTTTCAGACATGGGGGTTAGATGGTGAGGAAGATTATAGCCTTACGTATTTTAGTAAATTTGATGCTATATAAAATGTATATTTTATGAAGGAATTTGAATTATTTTGGACAAAATGCATCACTTTGAGACATTTTTGAACGAATTTTGATGTGTTGGAATGAAAATTAAGGACATCTATGAATGGTTGAAAAACAAACACGAAAGGAAGACTATAGCCGTTCATATTTTGGTAAATTTGGCAATATATCTAATGTACATTTTGTGAAGGAATTAGAATTATTTTTGCACAATATACATTATTTGGGGCCATTTTCCAACTAACTTTAAGAAATTTGATTTATTTTGGACAAAATACATAATTTTGAGGATATTTTCCAACTAATCTTGACGTCGTGGAGTGACTATTAATGGAATTCATAAACGGTTGAAAAACGCACATGAAGGTAAGACTATAGACTTTGGCAATATATCAAACGTACATTTTGTGGAGGGATTTGAACAATTTTGGACAAAATATGTCATTTGGAGGCATTTTCTAACTAATTTTAATGACTTGCAGTGAAAATTAAGGGATTTTATGAACAATCGAAAAACACACATGAAGGTAAGGCTATAGCCTTATGTAT